TAATACAAATATACTTTTACGAATGACCTTAAAAATACAGTCATATTTATTTATTCATGTAAAAAAAACTAAGTAAATAAACACACTAATATAATAATGACCGCGTGTGTGTATATGTGATGTTTTAATGATAATTTACAAGTGAAGAAGGACCTTTATACTAGATACACTATTATTATAAAACTGAAATTGTTCTTGTGGATTCAATACAATTCTTGAGAAAGTCTTTATCGGCCTTTGGAAAGAGGTGACAAAATGACCATAAACGAGGCAATTTCGGAGGACATCGTGTCTAAAAAACCTTTTACAGTAATACAAAATTAGGTTATTTTTTTTATCTATAGAAGAATGTTCTTGGACGCCGACGACGTAAAAAGTAGAGCACAAACTAGGTGCAGACAGAATCGAACTTACCTATTTGTAAACGTTATTAATCATTGAGTGAAACGCAACGTAACGCCTTTGTTAAATTAAAATTGGGTCGTCTTAATGTAAATGAATCGATAGGTACATTTTGGTCGTTAAAAGTGTGCGTTACCCCAGCAAAATAATGTCGAAAATGGTCATTTAAACTTTATAGATAATTAGTTGCTCCCCTTCTGTAATTGTTAAGCACATTTTTAAATTTGTTTCACTTAAACTTTTTTAGTTATTTCAAAAAAACATTTCCTGCTGGAGTAACGTTTGAAACGTTACCGCAGCCAGACATTTTCTTTTTTAATTGTAATATTGAAATAAATTTTAGCTAAATAATTAGTTATCTGGACTAGGTAAATGTTACAACTTATTTGGTATTTGTATTTTCTTCGGCTGCGAAGTTATTCGAAATCCTGCTGGAGTAACGTTTGTGGGTTTGCTGGATCTCTGAAACGGGTAAGCGGATTGTAACCATCTTTTGTACATAACTTTTTAGGGATTAGTTTTAATTTGTTCGACAATAAAATAACAAAAATAATGGACCGTTTAAAAATTATTTAGGTAAGTATGAAAACACTTCAATACGTCCTAACACTTTAAATAAGACCTCTAAAGACTTACTTAAAACGTTATTCTATTGCTTGTAACTACCTTCAAATGTATACGAATTTTCGTAAGAATACTGTAAGTGACTAAAAAGTTATGATGAAATGTAGCTCTCCACGTTCACGATCACAATGTGTGCGGCCTTTTTTGGCCACCGATAAACCTGTGTGTGGATATATAAACTGAATGTTATGCCAACAATTAGTTGTTTAGTTCAGTTGTCTACCTGTAAAATTTCAGCGTAGTACATATAATAATTTACGAGATAATTAAATAAAAGTCATTAGAAGGTGCAAGACCCTGGTAATATTTAAAAAACATGTAGTTTTTTGTAACACTTATGTACATATCCGTAGTAAACTTGCAAATAATATCCTACATATTTTAAAAGCCAGCACAATGTACTGGGTGATCGCTTTTTTGTAACCACCTAAACATGGTCGGGTTACCACGGTCTTGCACCTTCTAATGACTTTTATTTAATTATCTCGTAAATTATTATATGTACTACGCTGAAATTTTACAGGTAGACAACTGAACTAAACAACTAATTGTTGGCATAACATTCAGTTTATATATCCACACACAGGTTTATCGGTGGCCAAAAAAGGCCGCACACATTGTGATCGTGAACGTGGAGAGCTACATTTCATCATAACTTTTTAGTCACTTACAGTATTCTTACGAAAATTCGTATACATTTGAAGGTAGTTACAAGCAATAGAATAACGTTTTAAGTAAGTCTTTAGAGGTCTTATTTAAAGTGTTAGGACGTATTGAAGTGTTTTCATACTTACCTAAATAATTTTTAAACGGTCCATTATTTTTGTTATTTTATTGTCGAACAAATTAAAACTAATCCCTAAAAAGTTATGTACAAAAGATGGTTACAATCCGCTTACCCGTTTCAGAGATCCAGCAAACCCACAAACGTTACTCCAGCAGGATTTCGAATAACTTCGCAGCCGAAGAAAATACAAATACCAAATAAGTTGTAACATTTACCTAGTCCAGATAACTAATTATTTAGCTAAAATTTATTTCAATATTACAATTAAAAAAGAAAATGTCTGGCTGCGGTAACGTTTCAAACGTTACTCCAGCAGGAAATGTTTTTTTGAAATAACTAAAAAAGTTTAAGTGAAACAAATTTAAAAATGTGCTTAACAATTACAGAAGGGGAGCAACTAATTATCTATAAAGTTTAAATGACCATTTTCGACATTATTTTGCTGGGGTAACGCACACTCGTTAAAATACTTATTAGGCTGCCTCATTGGTACTTTAAATATTATTATTTTTTTATTTCGGGGTTCCAGGAACTTTCCTTCTAGGTGTGCGGTTTTTGGTCGGTTCGAGTCTGACATAACCACCGGTGGGTAGTATCCGAGGGGATTTCCGCACAGAAAAAAAAGAAGATGAGTTTCAAGAAAACGACCACAGTATTAGATGAGTAGATAGGTAAACATTAAGAGAAAAATAAATGTGATATTAATATGATTGTTTTGTTTTTCAAAACAATCATATTTTGTTTCGTGCGTTTATGCTAGGACTAAAACCAAACTACTAATATATCCGGTGCATAGGTGTCTGTTTTTAATGTCATATTAATAGTTTTTTTTCATGTCCACACGGTTATTTGCACGATACCTATGCCTAAAAACCAGTTTTTTTTTTGTCTGTCTGTTGTAATCTAAACGGCTGGACCGATTTTGATAACTAGAGAGATATTTTACTACCAGGTAGCTGTGTGTGCTTATATAAGGAGTAACTTAGGCTATCTTTCCTCTCAGAAAAAGAATTTTGCCCGGTCTGGGAATCGGACCCACTAAGGCAGCGCTTTCAAATTCCACGCGAACGAAGTCGCGGGTATTAGCTAGTGTTGAATAAAAGCGACGCCTAATCACTTTAGTTTCATCTTATATTTATATCCTTACAAAATACTAAATGATAGATAAATGACAATATTATGCTGACTATTAGTTTCATCTATCTTTTTAACTATGAGTATTTGTTTAGGCTCTCTCTAGGCCTTTATAATTGAACTATAATTATGTAAGTTATTTCGTACACTTGATCCTTAGTAAATAAATAGACGTATTCTCACATGTGTCCTGAATTGTTTTTTAGGTAGGCTGTTAGTAACTTCAATAATAAATCAAAGATGATACAAAAAAGAGGTTGATTTTTTTTATATTCGTTTTCTATACGTTTGAGTGTTTCTAAGAAAACAGGAATCTGAATTCATATAAGTAGGCTAAGTGGCAAAATGACTAGAAAATGAATTACTACAATTCTGTAAATTCTTTGGCCTGTAGCCTCTTATTTTGTGTGCTAGGTTAATTACTCTGATCTGGGCTTTTAATCTTTTCTATTCTGCTCGTCATATTTCCTGGTCTACTGTTTGAACGATTGCATATAATTGATTATCTGCCTTCTTTTATGTTTCAGTTCACCTGTAAAATTCATACTTTTACTAATAATAATGTGGTAAACGAGAAATGTTATGGTAGTGTTAAACCACTTATTAGCTAACGCTTGCGAGAAGTCGATTACAATATTTAAGCCTGTCTTCGTACATATGAAAGCAAACTTGCGACTTTAACTTTTTTTAAGGTGATGACAGTCAAAGTTATTACGATTTTCTTCCATATAATACCACACGCAGGTTTAAAATGTCAGAGTTCAACAATGGTGTTTGACCATTGCTGAACTCTGACATTTTAAACCTGCGTAGCTCTTAAAATTGTGCTGATGATGATTATTTATTCCCGTGAACTAAGAGACTTGTGTAAAGTATTGGTGGTCCTATACTTTACACAAGTCTATTAGTTAGAGACTCAAAGTAGATTAAATATAAACAAGGTATTAGTAAATGATAGCTAGTACATTTTGGAGGAAAGTTACACACTCAAATTATTATAATACAAAGCATGTATTTGTTTTGTAGAAACTACATCTTACTACTTTCATAGTCTTAATTATGCTTACAACAATTTACTATTTCTTATAAATATGTCATATTTATCTATATTTTGAAAGGCTGCTTTATTGTAACCAATCTGGGGTTTTGTTAATTCAAACCAGGAAAATTGATCTGACTGACATACTTAACACATATTATGCAAGATTTATTCATTTTTTTTTAAGTAAATTTCTAGATTTTTCAACTGTCCCTGCTGTTTGCAATCAATATTATATCAACTCGTATTACACCTATAACTGGAATATGAGCTAGTTTCTGAACTGAGTTTAAAGTATAGTTCAGAAATGAGTATCATTAGGACAATAGTGCATTTAGCATGAACTTTCATATTTGACAGCTTACACTTGGTCAGTTACTTTACCCACTAGAAACTGTAATACGATAATACTGCAACTGTTTAGCTTAATTAAGCTTATAATTTACTTCACTACTACTAAAGTGTCACGTCAGTAGGCCAATTTTCGTAATGTAAGTTCGGTCATAATTCAATTCCGATCAACTTTCGATCTCACTACTGTCATAAAAGGTATTTTCGTATTTAATAAACATCTAACGTTGACTGTAACGCGATAAATCGTATTGTAACTGAAAATTGAATCGGTAATCAACTAGTCAATGTGTAAAATATTAATTTGCTTACAGGATGTCACTCAACCTATAGCTGAAATGAATAGGATTTTTATATTTAAGCTTTGGTTCAAAAATTGCCTATAAGTGAAACTTAACTAACTTCCACACCATAACTCTGTTTCTATATAACATTTGAGATTATAGTCCCTACACACATTATAGTAAGACCTACTACCAACAATTATCATCACAAAATTTAATAATTTATTATAATACATATTGTAATCTTATACTATAATAACCACCAAAACCAAATGGACGCGATGAAATATTTTTTCTCTAACTCAAAAGGCAATTTATACAAAGTCTACATACCCTGAAAGGGTTTACAGCCATGTAGATGTTCCTTAGTCCATAGTTTCTAGTCCTCATGATGTTCTACTGGATGTTGCACCAAAGCGGTGTCCATCAAAGAATCTTTCATTTGAGGCTTGACTTTAGTAGGCGGAAACTTGGTAAGGCAGAATTCAGATACCAGACAGAATAACTTGCATAGTAATGGACACAATAGTGCTTGATGAGCCACAGCAGCCACTCTAAACCATGGTCCGTCAAAAGGGTCCAATATGGCTGGACATAGCATATGGTTAAGGTTTACTTGAGCAGGCTGAAATAAGAATGGTTATTAAATACAATTGGAAAAACATAAATTTTTACATGAGATACCAAAATAGATTTAGGTTTATCTTTTATTAACTGACTACTAAACCTCTAATATTATAAATATATTAAAATGTATAGACTTACAATTGCAATAAGTTGTAACACAACAAAGTGGTATAACAAATTTAGGCAATAGCTAAATATTGCCCAATTAAAGTCCCAAAATGGTTCTATATTATAAGCACCTAAAAAAATCACAAAAGTTAGATTATAAGTGAAGTAAACATCTATTTTATGTATAAAGTAAATAATTGAAATAACATACCACCAATCCTTAACAAATAATATGGAATAACAAACATCATTCCATGTTGAATCCAATACAGGGCTGCTTCAGCAAAGATCTACATCATATAAAATAAATATTTAGTTATATGTAGACATTTGAGGAAAATGATCTATTGTTCAAGTTTTACCTTCCTTGATGCTGTTTCAGGAAACAGGAAAGCAAGCAAAGGTCCATTTAATAAATTTAAATGTATCCGAAACAATGCTGTAACAGTTTTGCTTGGTGGTGCTGCCAATAAGTAGATCTAAAATTATAGAAATAATTTATTTGACACTAGTTTGTGTAAATATATGCTTTTGAATTACGATCAAAATAAAAATCTAAAAAGCTGTTTATATTTTAAGCAGGAACATGGTTTAATTATTAGTGTAGGCTTGTAAAACAAAAATTTCATACTTACTTGTATTAAAGTTGTAACATGGCATGGGTTTAGCAAATATATAACTGTGCGCGACGCAAATTTAAAGCCAATTTCCATTCCCCATAACAAAGCTAGGAGAATGACTAATAACCTCTTACCACCTCTGTCATTTTTTACATAGTATTTATCAGGTATACTTAATTTTGGATAGGTTTTGATCTGTAACAAACCACAGATATAATTTTGAAACAGTAAAAAAATATTATTAGTAGGCAATTAAGGTTACCACTAATTTAATTAATTTTAGTGACATGGAAAATTATAGTTTGAAAAATGTTGTCATGTTGTGAGATTGTACGTCTATTTCTCTTATCAGAACACTAAAATTTAATGTACTTACTAAAATATACACACAAATTGTAATCACAATACTGGTTTCCAAAATTTGTCTGGTAGTCGATAAATAATATGCGCATTCTGGACCCACATTCCTAGGCACTGCTTTATTTGCACCACTATATGCCCATTCGAACATTTTTAAGACAATATTTAATAAATTTTGTGTACAGCAATGTTCATCGATTACACGGCGCTCTAATGTTCGGATAACGAAATAATTTAATGCTTCAATTTCAATTCCCGCTACGATGACAGCGAATACGGTAGTGACTTAGCGGCAGTCAGTGTGACCAAATTAAATTTTACGAAAATGCCGAGGCACCTCATAAGAGACTTACTGAACAAAACCGAACGTACTACCACCTACATAGGACACATTTACCAATAACAATTATTTTCCCAATTTCTACCCAAAATAGTTCACAAGAAAGGGGTGAGCTACCCGAGATCGTAAAGTTTCTATGTAATAGAAACTTTCTTTTACTAAGTGCATTATCACACAATAAACGAGAAACGCACGATAAACGCACGAATGGATTTAAGTTCCAGTAAAATTTATGATTTAAGTGCTTAACTCAATTATAAATAATTGATACCCTATATTAGGTCTAGATTCATAATCCTACTACAGCCGCCTGTCATCTTTTATCTGTAAAATACTGATCTTTGCTCCTAGATATAATGCGAACTGAGAGATTTTCACCGCACGTTTTTTTTTCGCAAAATGCTGTGACACATCAAATTTGTATAGGCTTATTCGCACTGGCGGAAAAAATCAGGGGAAAAAAAACACGACGTTCCCGCGAGACCTTACAGTGTTACCATAATTTTTTCTACAACAAAAAAATACTGACTGCTGGCAATCAAATAAAATATACTAAAAAGCAGTAATATACTAAATCTGGTCATACTGGCGACAGACAAATTTTCATTTATTCATGCGCACGATAATAAAGCCTTGTGTTATGAGAAGTTGTCAGTAAGAATATATCACTGATACATTTATTAAATTACTACTTACATTTTAATATAAACCGGATCAACTTGGTGGAAGGTACAATGGGGTGGAGCTATATGGATCGTAGAAATCGTAATAATAAGACACTAGAAGTCGACTAGACGCTTGACCTTGTCGCCGCAATGATGTGTAGACGAACACCACTTACAGAAATTCATTCCATTCGTGATTTAGTTGCGCGGAGCGTCGTATGTGAATTTATATTTTTTAAATGGTGAACTGCAGCATAATGGGTTCTGAAAACGTATCCGGGACGTCTCATTCGACTAATAAAGGCTTAAAATTTCCTAAGTAACTTTATTTTTTACTATTAAATCATTGTTTTTACTAATTTACAACTCGAAGAATACTTTAATAAGATATCTTCCTTTTGTAAACATTCATTTAATACTTTCCGTTTTGTATAATTACCATTGCTGCTTTTGTTCTCATTGCACGCGATGTTGACAAACAAGCCAAGCAATATAATGTGAGGTATTAGATATCGTTGTGCATTGCGTTTGTTTATGGTACGGCTGCAGGCATCGGTCGCCAGTTAGTGATGTAACCATACCATTCATTTGAATAAAAGTTACAGTTTTATCGATATTAGTAAAATATTCTTAATATGAATTATACAATAATTTCTTTAGAAATTTAATTATTTGTTAAAGTTTGCGAATTAAAGGCTATAAATATAGGCAATGTATGTCTTTTTAGGAAGCATAAATAACTAAATTACTATTTATTAGCACAAATTATAATTAATTTCTAGATGCCCGAAAAATCCTGATCTTAAAGAAAAAAAAATCTTTCTTTTTACGGTCATTAACCTCATTTCGTAGAGTTGTTGATAATATCCACTATAAGTATCTTTATATTCAAACATAGTGTTAGGAATAAGAGTATTATACAATTGACGACTATGTAAATATAAAAAAGGAATATTCTGTTTACTATTCTGTTTACAACTTACTTCTTCATAACTTATTTCTACATTAATATAAATCTAATTGTTTACGTGTCTAATTGTTTACGTAAGGGAACTATTTGTTCAGTAGTAGCTTATTATTTCAATTTTTGTTTCTGTGAGTTTTCGTGTTTTTTAAATATATTTATGCATTAGGATTTTTAAAATTTTTAATCATAATAATAATATTTCGGATATCTGACATTATCCACACACAACGCCATCTGGTTTCAAACTAAGCAGAGCTTGTACTATGAAAACTAGATTAACAGATAGAATACTTATATACTTTTTTTATAAATACATACATATTATACAAAAAAAAACCACCCAAACTTTGAAATAAATTTTATTAGTATAATAGGTACTATTCATTTATAAGAATCATTACTGTTGAAATATTTAAAAAAAATTAGTATATATCTATGATTTTCAATACTACTTGTAATCCATTTTATTTTAATGTATATAAAAAAATATCGAAACCTTAAAAAAAATTAGTCAATCACTTGCATTGTTTACAGGGATTCTCATACATCGATAGAGATTGTAGTGGTGCTACATAATAAATTAGTAAAATTCAATGTAATTCCTCGAGATTAGGGTTCATAATAGTTTTTGCCCTATGCATTACACCGTTGTTTTGCAAGTGTGATCGAGTATAATACCTATTTGTTTGTATTTGTATGTGTTAAGATGTGGCGACATCGGTTTTCTAAGTAATCGGGCGCTAATTCATTTCTACTGTCTTATTATTACGATTTCTGGCGGTATATCCATCCCAATTAGACCTAGCTAAACTTAACAGGCCGGTGACTGGCAGCAGCGACACCAGTACGATTAGATTCAAGGGCAAACCCTCTCAATGCAGACGTTACAAAGACCACCGCCCCCAGTTTCTATTCCTGGTCAGCCTCTGTCCTTCTGGCGTTGAATAGGAGGGGATTTTCTTGATGAACTCCTTCTTCAAGAAATAGCTTCAAAGAAAGTAGACGTAGCAAAGCCTCAACGCTGTGACCAAAAATGTGATCGATTAATTCGAAAAACAAAACCTGTTTGCAGATCCATGGGATCCTACTAACGATTCGCTGCAATTCTTTACTCCCACTTTAGCTTTGAAGTCACCATAACAACGTTGTACTGTAACAACTTAGTGGTGAAGTGGACGGCCTTCCAGATATGTCATTGAATAAATCCTCCACACCTTGTACACCTGTACAACCTTGAGGCTACGTAGGCTACCCTGTTCAACACACTGGATATTTATGGATTAAAAATGAGATCGATTTCATCATGACGGACAAGAAGCACACATTCAGAGAGGTCTCAGTGATCAATAGGTTTCGCACCGGTAGCGACCATCGACTTCTGCGAGGCGCTCTGAATATCGTGTCCGTTCGATAAAATCCAGGCTCCGACCTAATCTGCTCCAAGCCATGATAGGATTTGAAACGTTCCACTCCTATCTGGCAAAACCGATTTGCAGCAGGTAATATCGATTTGTAAGGGCAGAAAGTCAAAGCTTTCAGAAAGAACCCTTTTTTTTTTTTTTTTCCGTGCGGAAATCCCCTCGGATACCACCTGTCGGTGGCATGTCGGACTCGAACCGACTAAAACCGCACGCCGTCTCGGGTACTAATAGCCGGGGAACCAGGTATACCCTAGAAAGGAAGTCCCTGGTACCCCGACATACCTCGGGTCATCTACAGACGAGTAGACGACCCCCCCCGTGTGGGAACCCCATGTTCCCTGTGCTCCCTGGAAGCGAGCGCGCTTTGCAACGCGCTCGTCGCCACCCCGGCCTGCATCTGCTAGGGTGACAGATGGCCCCACCTGTCACCCCCAGGCCTGCGCTTATGGAGGACGAAGGTCATTCTGCGACCTCCGGCGCCTGAGTCGCCTGCGGTACCTGGCCCGTTCCCGGGCCTGGCGGGCCGGGAGAGTCCTAAACCTCTCCCGGTCCCGCTCCGCCGTCTCCTTACTCGCAGCTAACTAGCATAACTTGCTCGCAGAAGGAGACGGCAGAGTTCCACGCACTCTCGCTCCGCACCATAGCCGCAATCAGGCTATCGAGCGAGAGAACTCCCACTCCGATGGCCGCCACGAGGTCTCGCCTCTGCTCAACCCACGCCGGGCACTCTGCCAGCGTGTGGAGAGCCGTGTCCACGGTCTGGCCATCGCAGTGGTGGCACTCAGGCGTTGGCTCCTTGCGGATCAGACACAGGTGATCCCCGAAACATCCCTTCCCAGTAATCACCTGCGTCAATCGGTATGAGAGGGTCCCGTGACGCCTCTCGAGCCAATCCTCCATAACGGGTCTTACCGCCGCGATGGGGTCAAAAGTAGTACAATGTCTTGGAAGAAGCCAATTGATGAAGCTGACCACAGCAAGTGTACAGATAACGTAAATGAGGAATCCAGAGCCGCATTAACACGCTACTACACCGAAGACCTGCCAGAAGTCAGCACTGACGCAATAGAGTTAGCTCTTAGAAAGCTGAAAAGTGGAAAAGCCCCTGAAGAGGATGGCGTTACAACAGAGTAGCTTAAGGCTGGAGGTAAACCGGTGCTAGTAGCTCCAAATGTTAGTCAACGTTTGAATTGGGAACTTCAGAGGCGTGCTGTAGGAGTGTGGTCGTCCTGTCTTTCAAAAAAAGGGTGATAGCACCATGTTAAAGGACTTTTTTTTTTTTTTTTTCCATGACGAGCAGACGGGTCACCTGATGGAAAGTGACTATCTCCGCCCATGAACGTCTGCAACTCAGGAGCCACAAACGCGTTGCCGGCCTATTAGGAAGGAGTACACTTTTAGCTTAAAGGTTTGAAGGTCGTATCGGTCCGGAAATACCGCAGATGATAACTTGTTCTACAGATTGATTGTGCGAGGCGAAAAGTGTCTTGAAAAGCGCACAATAGATGAGCTCTTAATGATGGTGAGCGCTAAATGATGATGATGGGAATAAACATTTTGCCATGTGGAACGATGGCGGAAAAGGATGTAAGTTGCGGCCGGTACTAGCCTCTCCCTTGGTCTTGATCACCTGTGCCCACCGGTGTGTTACAAAGACGAGAAGATCACCAGCTGAGCGACCCCAACGACAACCATGTTTTATTTTATTTTATTATTTTTGGAAAACTTACAGCTAAAA